CTGTAGGCTGGGAGGAGGCCTTGTCATACTGTAGGGTGGGAGGAGACCTTGCCATACTGTAGGGTGGGAGGAGGCCTTGTCATACTGTAGGGTGGGAGGATGCCTTGCCATACTGTAGGGTGGGAGGAGGCCTTGTCATACTGTAGGGTGGGAGGAGGCCTTGCCATACTGTAGGGTGGGAGGAGGCCTTGTCATACTGTAGGGTGGGAGGAGGCCTTGTCATACTGTAGGGTGGGATGATGCCTTGTCATACTGTAGGGTGGGAGGAGGCCTTGTCATACTGTAGGGTGGGAGGAGGCCTTGTCATACTGTAGGGTGGGATGATGCCTTGTCATACTGTAGGGTGGGAGGAGGCCTTGTCATACTGTAGGGTGGGATGATGCCTTGTCATACTGTAGGGTGGGAGGAGGCCTTGTCATACTGTAGGGTGGGATGATGCCTTGCCATACTAATGTAGGGTGAGAGGAGGCCTTGTCTTACTGTAGGGTGGGAGGAGTCCTTGTCACACTGTAGGGTGGGAGGAGGCCTTGTTACACTGTAGGGTGGAAGGAGGCCTTGTCACACTGTAGGGTGGAAGGCGGCCTTGTCACACTGTAGGGTGGGAGGAGTCCTTGTCACACTGTAGGGTGGGAGGACACATTGTTACCCTATAGGGTGAGAGGAATCCTTGTCACACTGTAGGGTGGGAGGATGCCATGTCACACTGTAGGGTGGGAGCATGTCTTGTCACACTGTAGGGTGGGAGGAGGCCTTGTCATACTGTAGGGTGGGAGGATGTCTTGTCACACTGTAGGGTGGGAGGAGGCCTTGTCACACTGTAGGGTGGGAGGAGGCCTTGTCACACTGTAGGGTGGGAGGAGGCCTTGTCACACTGTAGGGTGGGAGGATGTCTTGTCACACTGTAGGGTGGGAGGAGGCCTTGTTACACTGTAGGGTGGGAGGAGACCTTGTCACACTGTAGGGTGGGAGGAGGCCATGTCATACTGTAGGGTGAGAGGACACATTGTTGCATTATAAGGTGCGAGGAATCATTATCACACTGTAGGTTGTGAGGACACATTGTTACACTATAGGGTGAGAGGACACCTTGTCACACGGTAGGGTGGGAGCAATCCTTGTCACACTGTAGGGTGGGAGGAGGCCTTGTTACTTTGTAGGGTAAGAGGATGTCTTGTCACATTGTAGGGTGGGAGCAATCCTTGTCACACTGTAGGGTGGGAGGAGGCCTTGTCACACTGTAGGGTGGAAGGATGCCTTATGCTACAGTGCCCTCTCCTATTTTCTTCCCTGTTCCAGCGTAAAGAGTCATATCTTCTTACCTTGCAGGTTCCCTGAGCCGCAGGGAATCGTTTGATATAGGAGGCAGCTGGAAAGAGTACGTATTTGTGGATAAATTTTCGTTTCTAAGTTTTACAGGTAAGGGGCGCTTACGCCCCTAATACATACAAAATTGCAACGCCCCTGTCAGGCTGGCGCCAAGACTATGAGAGCGCCAGCAAGCTGGCGATTGGCTGGAAGAGGTCACGTGACGTCAGTGACCAATTAGAGCCCGCCCCTGGAGGCTGTGACGTCACCGGGAGGCCTTGCTCAGGCCTTGCGGAGGCGCTGAAGCTCAGAGATTCACGGACCTTCGACACGAGCAGAAGTGTGTCAGTGAGCTCTCCAGATTGGAGGTTTTAGAGGCCTCGCTCAGTGGATTGTGCAGCGTAAAGTAGTCTACTATCATCATAGAAGATTAATGTTCTCCCGGGGAGCACAAAGAATCAGAGTTTAGTGGGCGAAAGAGCGCCAAGAGCTCATTGCTGTTAGTCAACGACGGAGGTGAGCGTCAATGCTGGGAGGGCGGTGTGAAGCCCTGTGGGTCGCGCTCCAGTACGATATGCGAGCTGTTGAGACCGGGTCACATCCACTGGAGACTTGGAAGGGAAACATCGCGTCTGGATCCATTAGTATTCGTCTCGGTGAAGGAGCGAGGGAGGAAAGCGACGTGCTCAGTGATCACTGGATGGGCCAGCTTGAAAAACCTGGGAATAGGTATGGGGACGACGCATTTACTCCACGACGCCCGAGGACGTTGTGGAGTAAATGCTCCACGACGTCCTCGATGTGGTCCTCGACGTTCCGGTCGCGGAACGACCGGAACGTCGAGGACCGCCCCAGGAACCGTGTACCTCTACAACCATCGGAGGCCTGGCGTCGGTGGACAGGACTGTTTTAAGGTAGATCATTATTTCCCTCCCATGTCCCTTGGTAACTAGGCTAGATAGGCCTAGTATATATTTATATTAGTGTGTTTCATATTACGTTAGGAGTAGGTTAGGCTGTAGGTTAGGCCCACATATTATCTACTACTTAAAGTTGACAGCGTGGGACGAATGTGGCAGAGTTGGTGCACGAGAGGTCTAGGCTGATTGAGCTGCCCCTTAGTGAGGAACCGAACCGAACCGAATAATACAGAAGATTTCCATGGGGCGAGCCTTGAAGTGGGGACAGCTGAAGTAAAGTTGGCGGGAGGAAACGCTTAAGTTGAAGAGAAAAATGCCAGGGCTTGACCCAGCTGCGTGTCAATATGTAGCTAGGAAACTGGTCAGAAGGCGGAAGTGGCAGTGCTTCTTCGTTCTGGTAGAGACAATCTGTCTTCAAGTGGTGTCTTCATTCTTCTTTTTTCTTTCTTCTTCTTCTTCTTGCTTCTGCTTTCTTCTTTCTTCAATTTCTTCATGCTTCGTGTAATCATTTGATGTTTGTATTCAGCGTAGTCACTTTGAATGAGTTCGGGTATCAGTGTAGATTCATCGCATTCCTCGAAGATTATGTCGTTAGCGTGACTGCATGCATGTCCTGGATATTCCAGCTTTAAGAATTCTGCCCTCTTGTTATATATCAGGCTTGAGATCCATCTGAATTCGGGAGATCCAACTGTAGTTTTGTCACACTATTGGAACATTGCTTCTAATACTGGATTAGCATCACATTCCGCCTCCTGGTCCGAGGATGGTGGTGAGTGTTTCAGCGCCAACACAGGCAATAGAGTCGTCATCAGAAGACAGGTGGAAATCTGCAGAAGCATCCGGTGAAGGTTCCTGTGAAGCTGGTGGAGTCTCTGTTGAAGCTGGTGGAGTCTCTGTTGAAGCTGGTGTAGTCACAGGTATAACTGGAGTAGTAAATGGTTCATCTGGAGTATGTTGTTGTTGTTAAAGATTCGCTACCTGGAACAAAGTTCCAAGTAGCACAGGCTATGGTGAGCCCGTAATTGTGGCGACAGGTATTTGAAAATTTTATTTAATTATGCTACAGACATCTGGAGTAGCAGTGTGCAAGGATATTGCAGAATCTGTAGCAAGAGCTGTTGAAGGATGCAGAGGGTGGGCGTCAGCAGACAGGATATCTGCCAATGCAGTTGAAGAGATGGTGATGTCAGGGGCAGAAGTGATATTTGTTGCTGAAGTCGTAGCACTGGCGTTGGCTGAGGCTGTAGTTGTGAAGAGTTCTTCAGGAACGGTAAATGTTGGTAGACCATTGTCAGTGTACATGATTTTTAAAATTCGTACAAATTCCTTGGTGTTTGTGCCTGCAATTCTTTCAGCAGTGCGGATGAGTCCCATTATGACACTGTGATTCCTGTTGGGGAGCTGCATCTGGTGTGGTGAGGGCTGGCTTGTTGATTGAGCAGAGTGAGGTTGTGGCTGTCGCAGCTGCGTTGATGATTGGTTGGCGGACTGGCAGCCAGGGCCCCAATAGGATGCAGTCTGTGCAGAAGCTCCGCCCCTACCCGGAAGCAGAGGAAAGTTGGCGGCTTGCACGTTGAATGTTGATGGTTCTCGTCGAGTGGTGTTGACTTGCCTGGCGTCGGTCATCTTCTGTATTTCTTCACGTCTTCGAGGACACTCAGCAGAAACGGCAGTATGGTGACCTTGGCAGAGAAGGCATTGGAGGAAGTCGCTGGTGTATTGTTTGAAATGGTGATTCTGGGCACACTAGCTGCACCGTTGGGCCTGAGATGGGTATTATTACGTAAAGTGCTCATAACTATAGCATTGTCTTATAGCACTTAAAGCATTGTCGTAGCTGGTAGTAATGTTCTTTGCTGATTTATCGGGGTGTGCAAGCGAGGCCGAAGCACCTGAAGCCGTTGGTGGTAGCAGAGGTAGCTTCCTTAGGCGAGGTGATGGTTACCTTCATGGGGAAGAGGTTGCTGTCCTGCACAGTGATGAATTTTACAGTGACTGCAGTCAAGGAAGGGTTATCTTCAGTTATACTGGTGGCGACGTCGGTGGCAGCTTTTTCGGAAATGAGGGAGCTGACTCTGCTTACAAAAACAGTCCTGGCTGCGAGGTAGTGTCGTGGTGGGGTGAGGAACATGTGCGCCTCCTCGAGAGCAGTAAGGTTGATGGGGTCAAATAGACGTTGTGCGGCCTCGGCACTGCTGAACAACAGTTGAGGGGGTCCTTCATCATCGACGACGACGTCCAGTGGTGCAACGTTGATTGTTGTTCTGAAGAAATCTGAGATTTCTGACCGGGTAAAGAGACCGGTCCTCTCTAAATCGTACCTTGATTCGGTAGATCATGGTGGCTCATGTCGTTGCTGCTCAATGTTTACCCACCCGGCAGTGCTAGGTGCAAGGGAGCCTGATCTAGAGGGTTGCACTTTCTTTAAGAGGTCTCCCGTCTCTTACCGGTATAATGCACCGGATCAGGGTGGGGTCTGACCTCCTAAAGCAAAGTACTCTGTGTGCCTAGTGAGGGCCCGAGCACCCCATTAAATTTGCCCAGCTGTCTGTATTGCCAGAGGCGGCGAGGGGAGAGCTGCCAACGTTCACCAGTTTATTTACTTATATATATCTATATGCTTATTTTCTTACATGTTTGATGTAAATTCTAGTATAGTAAGCTTTATATCATTTTTACGGCCAAGTTTAAGTGTACCATCCATCTCATTGAGCATTGAGCAACAACAATGAACGCAACTACAGTGAAACAGCCACAGTGAAAGCAACAACAATGAAAGCAAACAATAGTGCAAGCAGCCACAGTGAATGCAATCACGGTGAAAGCAACCACAGGGAAAGTAACCTCAGTGAAAGCATCCGCAGTGAAAGCTACCACAGTGAAAACAACCACAGTGAAAGCAACCACAGGGAAAGTAACCACAGTGAAAGTAACCACAGTGAAAGTAACCACAGGGAAAGTGACCATAGTGAAAGCAACCACTGGGAAAGTAACCACAATGAAAGCAATCACAGTGAAAGCAATAACAGTGAAAGTAACCCCAGTGAAAGCAACCGCAGTGAAAGTAACCACAGTGAAAGTAGCCACAGTGAAAGCAATCGCAGTGAAAGCAACCATAGTGGAAGTAACCCCGGTAAAACAACCACAGTGAAAGCCACCACAATAAAAATAAGAGTAACAATATCCACAGTACCAGCAACAACAGTGACAATGTCAGAAGTACCAACAATGGCATCATCAACAGTGACATTACAACAGTGACATTAACAGTAATATCAACAACAGTGATATTTTTCAACAGTTACTGTACAAGAGTAGCATTATTAACAGTGACATTATCAAGAATGACAGCATCTACAGTAATTGCACCAACAGGAATATCAACAACAGTGACGTAAACGGATCAACTTTTATTATTATCATCTTTATTGACAAAATTAATTAAAATTTTGCCTAATCTGAGGATATCAATTAATTCTTATTAAAGTGAGGATAATGCAGGTATTCACTGTCACGCAGGACAGAGGGTCATACACAAGATAATAAGTCTAAACTGTAGGCTGAAGCACATGTATATCACGGCTCCAGTATTATTAACAGCAACACTACTGTCACTGCTGTCGCTTTCACTGTTGTTAATTTCACTTTTATTACAGTCTGTTGAATTCTGTCACTGTTGATGATCATGCCACTTTATTCTGTCATTGTTGATGCTCATGCCACTTTATTCTATCATTATTGATGCTCATGCCACTTTATTCTATCATTGTTGATGATCATGCCACTTTATTCTATCATTGTTGATGATCATGCCACTTTATTCTATCATTGTTAATGATCATGCCACTTTATTCTGTCATTGTTGATGCTCATGCCACTTTATTCTATCATTATTGATGCTCATGCCACTTTATTCTATCATTGTTGATGCTCATGCCACTTTATTCTGTTACTGTTGATGATCATGCCACTTTATTCTATCATTGTTGATGCTCATGCCACTTTATTCTGTTACTGTTGATGATTATGCCACTTTATTCTGTTACTGTTGATGATCATGCCACTTTATTCTGTCACTGTTGATGCTCATGCCACTTTATTCTATCATTGTTGATGATCATGCCACTTTATTCTGTTACTGTTGATGATCATGCCACTTTATTCTGTCATTGTTGATGATCATGCCACTTTATTCTATCATTGTTGATGATCATGCCACTTTATTCTGTTACTGTTGATGATCATGCCACTTTATTCCGTTACTGTTGATGATCATGCCACTTTATTCTATCATTGTTGATGCTCATGCCACTTTATTCTGTCATTGTTGATGCTCATGCCACTTTATTCTGTCATTGTTGATGATCATGCCACTTTATTCTGTCATTGTTGATGCTCATGCCACTTTATTCTGTCATTGTTGATGCTCATGCCACTTTATTCTGTCATTGTTGATGATCATGCCACTTTATTCTGTCATTGTTGATGCTCATGCCACTTTATTCTGTCATTGTTGATGCTCATGCCACTTTATTCTGTCATTGTTGATGATCATGCCACTTTATTCTGTCATTGTTGATGATCATGCCACTTTATTCTGTTACTGTTGATACTGTCATTGTGAATGTTGCTACTGTTCATTATTTTGAACATTTTTATTGACAAAATCAATATAAATGTTTGTCTAAATGGAATAATTGATTTAGATCTTAATACAGTGTAGATGGTGCTCATATACACTGTCACGCGTGACAAAGGATCATAGATAAGAAAATAGGTCTAAACTGTTGCTTTTAACACATATTTCATAAAGTTACATTCCAGAACATCATATTTTATTTATGTTTAACTTACGTATTTGTAAATGCAACTTTCTGTTGTTTACTGCAACACATCACCGGAATGGATTCATACTGTATGCATTAATTAATTTTCATTATTAATATGCACAAGCAGATTTCGGATAATTGTTAGGATGTCCTATATTATTCCAGATACAATAAAATAGTTACATAGTTGATTATGCAATATGCTAGGTCAACAATATGCTAGGTCAACAATATGCTAGGTCAACAATATGCTAGGTCAACAATATGCTAGGTCAACAATATGCTAGGTCAACAATATGCTAGGTCAACAATATGCTAGGTCAACAATATGCTAGGTCAACAATATGCTAGGTCAACAATATGCTAGGTCAACAATATGCTAGGTCACTTTTATTGTGACCACAGTGAAAGAATCAACAACAATTTGTTGTTTGATATTCAATAATGTAGTGTTCTTGAACGCCTTAGCGGTTCATCATAGAGTTTACAAGATGATTATTCTGAGAGTGACTCAGCCTCACTAACTTGCCAGAGCTCAAAGTGATTTCAAGCATCACATTGTCTGGGTGGCTTGCTGTGCTAGTCACACAAATTCTTATAATTACAAAAGTTGTCATAACCTTTTAATATTGCAGCGTTTAGACCTTTGAGCATTTGTTAATTTTTCTAAATCTGAAACAATAATTTTAACTTGTATGTTTTTAATTAGTTGCATTATACAGTTCAAAGTCGCAGTCTGTATTTACTCTTTGTAAACCTCACTGGCCAATCGACACACAAAGTAATGTTTTGTAACTCTAACATGAGATAGAATCCATATAAAATTTATGCAAATGTTATTATCATTGGTAAAAATCACATTCCATTTAACTGTATAAGCTACTTCAGATATTAATTGTAATGAATTATTTAAAGAATAGGTTCTTTTAAAGTTAAGTAAAGATTCTGTTAGAGTCATGAAAATATCCCAACACCATATTTAGTTTAAGGAACTTTGTGGCTAGATAAATACAATTTCTCCTTTTGTGTTGTGCTTACACAGTCGTCCAATCTTTGCTTCCTAAACATGATAATTTCGTTTGCTTTATACATTGTACGTTTACAACCTATTCATCATTGCACAGAATCATCTGTCCAGACACAGAATTAAGTTTGAGATTTTGAAGAAGACTGTCAATAGTTATATGTTATGCATCTTATAGTTTCAGTGTTATAAGTTTGTTGCATATTGATGGGTGTATAAAGTATAGAGACTGGTGTCGGAAATTTCGACGTATAATTTACTAACCCCTGGAATACCAAGTAAAAACGGCTCTGTCAGGAAAATACTAATATTACTAATCTACTAACCTTATCACAGAGAACGGATTTAGTAACATTCCAGAGAAAATGGTGATGTTGCCACGTAAGGAAATCCACTATTTCCTTCATAAGATTTCTCTTGTGAGTACCTGAACCCTTCAATCTGGGGATATTTTTTAAGATTCACTTTAATTAAATCTATATAAATAAAAATGGAATTGTTCGTTTGTTCAAAATCGCTAATCTCCGAAAGTTCTTCATCGATTGCCTTGAAATTTTCACACAACGTTCCATTCACATCCGAGCAGGTTTTTATATACATACTATATAGATGTCACGTCTGTGACGGGAGAAAACATGCTTTTTTGAAAAGCTGTTTTTTTTTTTTTTCAAGTGAGGGAAATCTTCGAAACCTCTTTACCGATTGCTTTGAAATCTTGACACATCATTGCATTCGAATTGGCGAGTGTTTTTATATACCATCTATATACATGCCTCACCTGTACCAGGATTTTTTTTTTTTTTTAAACAGCACCATTTATAATACGAATGAGCAACACACGCTGTAATCTCCAAAAGTTCTTCACCGATTGCTTTGAAATTTTGATACGACGTTCCTTTCGTGTGTTTTGATATACCTACTATTTAGATGCCATAACTGTGACAGGTAAAAAACATACATTTTATGAAAAACAGCGCCACCTGTTGCAAGTAAGAGCACCATACGATGTACAAGATATGATACAATTCAATTTCAGTGTATCTGATTGCATTGATATATTGATTTTTCATAGATTTTGATTTATTTTCATTTTGATTTAATTATTTTGTGTGACATTTTGTTACAATTGAACTGTGTTGTTTACCATACCATTCATTTCGTGGGTATAGCTAATTTGTTTCTTTTTTCATTGTTTTTCATTCCGTCTTTTTAACTGTTCTTCTTATTTTTCAGTGCAATTGGTGGTGAAATTAAGCTGTGTCGATTGATCGGCGTTTGAATTGAAATATTTCGTAAGTATTTTTTGTTTTCGTTTAAAATAACAAAATGGACAACACGTTTATTTCACAGCTGCAAATGTACAACAAACAACTATGAATCCACCGGCTATAACAACGTTAACTGCTTTCTTCACGTTATGTCAAAATGACGTGTTTGCGAAAACATTGCTGTATTTGGAAGTACCTACGTATAACACATGGAATGCCAGTAGAAAATCATTTGAACGACGTCAACGAGGAGAGCGAGTCGACGGACAACCTGGCATATTCGAACAAACTACGATAGGCAGACTGTACACCATGCATCCCAATCAAAATAAGTGTGTCTTTCTTCGCAAGCTGTTGGTAAATGTCCCTGGTCCAACGTGTTTCCAGCAATTGAGATTTGTCAGCGGCGTAACACATGCTAATTTCCGTAGTGCATGTCAAGCTCTGAATTTAATGGAGAACGACCGACACTGTGATGTATGCATTAATGACGCGTCCAACACGTCACATCCAAATACAATTCGTGCATTGTTTGCACTCATATTGACCACCGGCTCTCCTTCATCTCCAACAGAGTTATGGGAGAAACACAAATCACACATGGCTGAAGATATTGTCCGTCGAATATGCAAGAAAAATTCAAATATAAACATGAATTTCAGAGCAGAAATCTACAACGAAGCGTTGATAATGATTGAAGAATTGTGCTTAGAAATTGTGAACAAAGTTCACAATCAATTGGGAATGCCATCACCGAATCGATCTGCTGCTGCTTCATTCAAGGTAGAATTGCGTCGTGAACAAAATTACAACATGAGTGATCTGTTGGCGTATGTGCAATCAAATATTGTTAAGCTAACGCTTGAGCGAAAAGGCATTTAGATCAAATAATTCAAACTGTCAATAACGGGTTTGGAGAAATCTTCTAAGATGCGTCTGGAGGAACTGTAAAACGTTTCTAATTAGATTGATTTTGGCAGCATTTCGATCCCAAAATGGCATAACTTTAGCT